ATGGCAATATTAATATTGAGTTATTAAACCTTTAAATACGCCTAACTTAATTAAACTTTAATACTAAAGAGTCCTGTACCTATATTTAAAGTATGAAGAAATGTTTATTAAATATTAAATTTCATTTTTAAAGATTTTTACCTTTTCCTCGCCGATTAGCACTTCAACACACTTATATTCATCACAATGAATACTATTATCCTCCCATTTTCACTGAAAATCTTCGAAAAAGCATAAATTTTTAACAAACACAACAAAAACAAACATAAAAATTGAAATGTGAGGTGAACTTGCATACGAGGGGCCCGCAACCACTTCGCCTAGTCGCTAATGCACTCCTAAACAACTTCATGGCAAAGCCAGGCTTGTTGGCTCAATAGTTATTGCTATATAAACATTTCGTAGTTATATTTCATTATAGAATATTTTGCCATAGGTTAGAAAGAGAGTGATCATCTTCTCGAAAGCCCCGTAAAAAGCCCACGCGAGTGAGGGAGACAACTAATCGCTCTATTAAAACTCACTTTATCACAGCAGCAGTATCGCCACAGAGTAACTTTGTATAAACGTATCGCTAAGGCAATACGAGGTCATCGGTCGACATGTGTCGAACAGTGGAGTGCGCGGGAAAATTGAAATAGTTTGAAGCAGTTTAGGAGTTATTTTATTAGATTGATATTATTGATTGATTCATTTTTAATAAGGCAAGCCCGGCTTTTCGGCTTCAATGGAAGCTTCGCCACTGTCGTCATCTATCTTTTTTTTGTTAAATCATTGTTTTAAGAATATTTAATGTGAGAAATAATAACTCAAGATTAAATAACCTTTAGTTTTAGTGTAAAATCATCAAGTTAAAAACTCGTTTTTTTTTGTGAATAAATACTTGCCGGCGCTGCCAAACTTTTTGCCCGCGATTCCGTCCACGTAGATTGAGAAGATAACAAAATATTTGTCTTTTTAATAATGAATAAGGGTAACAAACGAGCACATAGTCCACCTGATGGTAAGTGGATGCTGTGGCCCATAGACATCTGCATTTATCCTTGATTAAGAATCAAAACGCAGATGCGTTGTCACAATTAATGATTAAGATGGAATGCCTTGTTTTCAGTAAAAAAGGGTCTCCGGATTTCTACACTCACTATACGAAATACAGCAGTATTAAGCTGCTATTTTACGCTGGTAGATATCTGTGAGAGCATGATCTATCCCCTCTCGAGCTGACCCATTAGCAGCTGTCTAAGAAGATCTTTTACTTGTAGTCTAGATTTGATGGGTGGATAAAATTTCTTAAAAACCTGTTCTTCATTGTCATTAACACCTAATCACTCGCACTATTTTAGACTCGCAAATATTCGCGCGATTAGTGCCCCGTGCTAGATGTTCTAGCTGAAATTAAAGAACTATATTTTCTATGAGAGAAAATGTGTACTTATTTTATTACTTACTGGTATTTCATAGAATTAACTAAAATACAAAATTATGTGACAAAATATGACAAAGGTCTAACTAAAGGTTGAAACTCAAAACTTTAGTTAATACTTTGTTATAATGTGTATATGTGTTATGAAACATACTAATAATATAGAAATAAGTTTAATGCAAAAAATGAAATGCTATTTGCCACTAAAATTTACTAAGAAACCTGAGTATTCTCGAACTACAATATAAAGTATCGCAGAATTTTTTTTTCATTATGGAGCGACCATTTGGCAGCGTTTGCCTTCACGTATTAAACTAGTTCGAGTTGTAAAACCATGCAACATGCAAATAATTTCTTGTCTTTTTTGGTCCTCGTTTTTTACACCCACAGGGAATGCCTTGTTACCAGAAAAAAAGAGTCTCCGCTTTTTTACACTCGCCATACGAAACGTAGCAGCTGTTGTATATTTGTGTAATTTTTTATGACGTGAATACGTCTTGCTTCCATATTGGAAAGCAACTCAGAAAACTAATGATATGTAATTGGGGGACGAACAAAATCCAATATTTAATTACACAAATTTATAGGTAAAGGATTAAAGAATTTGTTACGTTGAGTGGGAACTGTGACAATAGCGCGCGGTGGAGGTGCTGCCAATTTCAGGTCGTCGGGCAAGCGAGCATGAGGCTCAACTGATGGTAAGTGACTACCGCCGCGAATGAACAGCCACAACATCAGGAGAATTGCAGAATTGAATTGAATTGTTGTTTTGCCCAATTCGCCCCTTCCTACTACTGCTAAAATAATAAGACCTGAATAAAAATCTAGATTTTTCTCATTAAAGACCTCATACTAGGAGTTTCTTCTATATCGTGGAGGCCCTTTACAAACGTGAATTGCACATGGAGACCATTCAGACTTGAAACACTTATTTAGAGATAATAAATACGAATGCTTGCTCCGAGCGGGAATCGAAATATATTTATTGCCAGAGGACGTTAGACTAGCTAAGTCACTACGCTATGTATATTATTCGGCACAATCACATTAAAAACGTTATATTCAAATGTTCATACATTATATCAATTTTTGAAACACTTTTTCTAGTCTGTCTCACCCCTATTTTGACCTTGATTCTTAGTTGAGGATAAATTTAGATGAAATGTAAATAGACCAGAGTATCCACTTACCATCAAGTGAACTGTGTGCTTGTTTGTCACCCCTTACTATAAAATACTTCGTTTCCAGATCGTATTATAAACCCGACCGTGCCGTGACGTTGGTGTCAACAAACCAGGAGATGGGTAGTAATATCTTTCTAATAATAACTGAATTGTGTACGTGTTAGCTCAGTAAAATGCGCAGTAGTTTATCGCTATTAAGCGCTCGCTGTAAAATTCACAGTACGCGTGCAACCTGGGTTCGATCCTAATGAAATTTCATTAGGGTCGGGTCGGGCACTAAAGAAATTGTTAAATGCAATTTTAAGCGCTAATTTACCACGTGCTCAGCAGTGAAGAACAACATCGTGAGGAAATCTGCATATATATGAGAAATAAAAAAAATATTACGGAGACTTCGACGTGAAGTTCGCAACTACACAGTATGATTGGGAAAGCGCGACGGATATTTACATGCCCTAAAACCCTCTCAGAAATGAGAGGAGGGCTGTGCTCAGAAGTGGGAATTACATTTGCGTAATTATGTGTGTGAAACCATGCTGCAGTTATACTGTAGTTGTAACACGAAACGGTCAGATAAACCGTGTAAAGACCACGCTCTCTCAAAATGCAGAGTAAAAAGCTTAATGCTGCTGGGTTTCGTATGGTAAGTGTAGAGAATCGGAGACTCCTTTGATTGAAACGCCGCTTTTGATCTTAACCTTCAGGGGTGACAACGCATCAGCACTTTGATTCTTACTCGAGAATTGTCTATGGGCCACAGCATTCAATTACCATAGGGTTGTCGCTCTGCTCGCTTGTCACCCTATGTCTGTAAAGCGTGGCAACTATGGCAAATATACATCCTATGAGGCAATCTATGGAGGTGTGCTATGTTCGACAGTGTTTTTATAGGCTGTAGTGGTAACGGTTGTAAATCCAAGATTCATCACCTTTTATAACATCGTAAACATTCCGACACAAACTCTCTTCAAATTTAGTTAGCATGTTCAGGCACTATTCCACGCACACTTGCTTCAGAGCCTGAAGCAAGTCTACGTGGAATAGTTTCTATCTTCTAACACGAAACTGTCCTCTTAACGCGAAGGTTTTCGTGGGAAATTTCGTAAATGTTTCTCGATCAAATCTGTAATATTTAATACACCAGCGGTCACGGCTGCCTTAGAAGAATTTTTACAAAATTGGTACGGCTTTATGCGATATTATTTGATATCGTAAATCATAATTACGAGTACGGGTAAATGTTTCCGATGTGGATCTCTTTTTCAATGAAACACACTATTTCAGTTTATCTCGTACATGTGTGGAGAGAAATTTGAAATTGGAACATTCGATGGTAAACATGTAGTTTTTGTTATAAAATATACAAAATTTAACCTGCACAAAGTTAAAAAACTTCATTAAACTAAGTTTGTATAAAAAAGATCACTATAATATTAAGGAATTTATGGATGATAACAACCTCTGGGAAGGGTGATCGCTATCATGCTTTTTCTTGTTTGTTTCGTGTCGTTAATTGTAACATACACGATTGTAAGCAATTATTTATAAAAAATAGTCCCGCTGGGTTTCTCTCTGGTTCTTTCCGGAACAAAGGTTTTTTTTCCGAACCAGTGGTAAATTAAAAAAAGGAACTTTCAATAAGAATTATTTTTAGTCTATATTGAATTGAAAAAAAAAATTCTGTTTCTGTTTCTATTATAAACTTTATATTGCCAGTGACTTAAACAAGAAAAAAAACTTTTTTGCATAAATTTCTGCGAATATTTGAGAAATAATTCATCAAAATATACAAGCTTTTGCAACAAGTAATTATATTTAATAAATTTAATAAGTTTTAATAAATAGTTATTTTTTAAATTAATTTACAGTAGAAAACTAGGAAATGAAAAAAAAAAACACATCGTAGGTCGTACCTTGGATTACTGATCAAAGATTAAGGAACTTCTGTAAGCACTACTCCCTATACTTATAACAATAATTACTCTATTAATAATAAAATCTAGATCTTAAACCCCCTTCGAAACTATTAAAATTGTACTTACGTATAAAGGTTATTAAGTACATTATTGAAGAAGACAAATTAGCATTAGACATTTCTTGGGGCATTAGAATTAAAGTTATTAATAAAAATAAGTCAAAATTTGAAACAAAAATGGTTTATTTAAAACAAATTTCAAAACATTTTCAAACCTATATGAATAAAAAAGATTAACACTTAACATGTCATAAATGCACTTTTTAAATAATTAAAAGTAACTAAGTAAGTAGTAAGTTTTGGTCACTTGTGATTTTTCCATCATCCAGTCTCACTTATTATATCCTCCTAATTCATAATGACTGGCAATTTTGATTGATTTTCAAAACAGAGTTACTTCAAACACAAATTTTCATATTCAAAACCTGCTAATAAAGTTATTCGGTCTTTGTGGCCATGTCTGTGGTCTACTCCTTAACGCATCGTATGCCTGCCAGTTAAGGTACCAAAAGGGTCGATTATCGATAGGCATTTGATTGAGTCTGTTAATTAAGCTTCCATCTCCTCTAGCTTCGATCGGAGCTGGCTCGTCCTCTCCAAATCTATTTAGTAGGATGTCATTGGATGCCGTTAATGGATATCCAATTGGTCTAAGACCAGCGTAAAACGGTCTCTGAGCCTCACATGTGATAAAAACTGTTGCAAAAAGTAGAATAAATTGTATAGCGGCCATTGTAGCTGTAACAGAAAACAATATTTGAATTTAACGGCTATTTGTATTTCTATTTATTTATGTAAACTGCCTTCAAGATACAGGAGAACACACTAGTATAATATTTATTAAAAAATGAGAAAACTACTTTAGTTTTTTTTGTCTTTCTCTGTTATAATATATATATATATAATATATAATAATATATCTTTAAATAATAGCGAAAAACAAACATTTATATGTTTGTTTTTCGCTATTTCACTATTATTAACCGAATTCCAAAAACGAGAAGGTCCTATACTCAATGCGACTTCACTCCAAATGTTGGAATAAAGGGAATATTTGTTTTAATGTGAATATTTAGACGACATATTAGTCGTTACCTTAAGCTTGTGATATTCCGTAATTAAATCAAAATGTTACAGTAATTAAAGTTAAAAAAGTACTTCAAAAACAAAAACGAATTAAATAAATTACACAGAGTTTCCGATGTCGGTTTTATTTCTTTAGATAATCACTTCAGATGTTATGTCGAAATTATATTATTCGTTTTGTTTGTGAAGTCGAATTTAATTTTAATCTAAGTTTAAATATTTTATTTCTTATATCACCATTATAAATATTATATCACATAACAAGGTTATCAAAGAAAAAAAAAAACAAAGAAATAAGTATTCATTTATTCTGTTAGAACACTTTGTTAGCTAACAAAATTACTATATTGATGTTGTTCTCTTAGCTTGCTTCTCTTCGGTTAATCGTTTTCATAAAAGTAACGGTGACAAACGCACAGTCCACTTGGTGATAAAACGATACTGTGGCCTATTGTACCATACATCTATCCTCACCGAGGAAACGAAATGCAGATGCGTTGTTACACTAATTTTGTGAAAAAGAATAATTACAGTACCCTGAACCCCCCCCCCCCTGTAGATTGCCTCAAAGTGGATATATTTCCCATAGTTCCCACTCTTTGCAGACGGGTTGGCAACGACAAATTTTATTATTATGTATTAAGTTTGTTAGGGAGATCAGGGAGATGCCTGCCCATCTTCTCCCACTGACGTCTCTTGCGATACCCAAGGTATGACTTCGAGTAGTTAATTCTTTTACGCTACTACACGGCAATATAAATAAACACAATTTGTAATATTTACCTTTGTAGTTTTGTAATGGTCCGAAAAATCCTAATAAGTAGATACTGTACGTAGCGTCTTGGTACGTCCGTTTTTAAAACAACATCACTAATTGTGTGTTCATAAATGAACCGCGGTACTATAAATACAAGTATCTGGCACGCTTTATCTAAAGCTGCGCAGTAGTTGACAGAGTTATGCTCAAACAGACAGGATGACTACGTTGATACATTTCTATTCGTTTTCTTTGAAGTAATATCTTACTTATTTCTATTCAATATTTATAATATGTTTTTTTTAATTTCAAGTAAATTTAAGAAGTTAGATTATTAATTACATTAATTTAAATTAATTATTATTAATATAATAAAAATATTAAACTAACACATAACATTTTATGATGGTCTATAAACGAATGTAAATTAACTATGGTAATATTGAGACCACTAGTTACATACATGTACTGAAATAAACTTCAAGTCACTTCACTATTTATATGCACACTGAGAAAGTGCGCCTATAAATAGTGACAACGAATTCTTAATCACATTAAACAAAATCATTGTTAGATTGTCGAAAACAACGTTCGCGATTTACAAGACAAAGAGCTAGTCTTCTCGCCCACTCGCAATCGACTAAAGAAGTTACGGTGAATTGACCATAAGTGCGCAATGTACTAAGGCTGCAGAGCCCATCTAATATTATACATAAAAGTGTTTATACTTCACAGACAGAATATTTTAAGGGAAAATTAAAAATTTACCTCGAATATACCGTTACCATCTGAAACATATCCTTAAAATAAAAAAATGGTTGAACGTGCAAGTCATCCCTGGAACTTCCCACTAATTTCAAATGCAAAGAGCTCCAAATTTCACCAAGTTATGACGTTGAATATGAAATATGGAGTAATTAAAAAAAAAACAATTTTTTCAAATTTTAAGATATCACAACCGAATCATGGATTTTGACAATACCAGCGGCGATCGACTTGGTTTTTCAAGGTTAAGCTGATTAAAAGCTGATTAGTTTTAGGAATCAACCAGAAAAGCCGTTTAAAAGTTAATACAATAAAACAGTTTTTTAAAATATTTATTTTTGAGATTTCTCAAAATCTAATGGTTCGAATTAGTTAAAATTCATATGAAATCTAAGTTAGATGAAATACTTTGGAATCCCTTTAGTTTATTTCAATCGGATAAGCCGTTCAAACACACATACATACAGACACAAAGACAGACATAGAAATAAAACGTGATGAAATCTATGAAAATAACTTTATTAAAATAAAATTCGGTAAGCATAGATTTTAATTTACGACGAGGGAATTCTATCGCTTCTCAAGTCGACGTAAATACCCAGTCGCAACTCGAACGCGTCACTTGGGGATACTCGCCGTTCCGTGTCTTGACGTAATTAGCAACTTCATTTACACGAAGTTATATTATTTCACTTTCTTTTTCTTCTTCTTTTCACACTAATTTTTTACTGATTGCTAACGTCCTATATCCTCATTATCGAATCATTCATAATTCTCATTAATATCATTATTATCTTATATATGACTGAAATATTGTTTTGCCTTTTTTCTACAGATAAAGATTTCAGTTTACTTAAAATCGTGTTTTTATTTGTCTTTTAAATTGTGTTTACATTTACTTCACTTCTGTACATTCAAGTTGTATTAAATATAAACATATAATACAGTAAGGTCGTATAAAATTCTTGTTAATTATGAGATGAATAGGGAGCCCATACGAAGCACAAAATAGCCATAAATATTTCCTACAAGATGCCCAGCGATGGACTTTTACGGGCTGAAGTAAAAGCAAAAGAAAAATAAATAAATAGATATTATAGATAGAAATCACAGAAATCGTAATAATAAGACAAATTATTACTATTTTTGTGAAAGAAATAATAAGGCAGTAATGATATACTAGGTCAGTTCCAGTATAATAAACTGATATCATGGTTGAACTCAAGGTTTGTACAGATATGAAGGTTCAAGTCCAGTCCAGGTACCATTTACCAAAATACCATAATATACAAGGGATCCGCCCGGGTTCGCACGGAGAATTTCTGGATCTCGAGAGCAGCGCCACCTACCGGGTTGAATTGTAAATCTAAACCACCCAGGGGCCCACTCAAATACACACAAAAATGTCATCAAAATCGATTCAGCCGTTTAGTAGGAATTCAGTTGAATAACAGCATATTATACTCGTATCTATTACAAATTTAAATCACCTGCGTAAAAAATCACGACAAACATAAATAAAGAAGCTAAAAAAGAATACATACGTGTTCCGTTTTGCAAATTATCGCAGGGAATACTAATGATGTTGTTAAACTTTTGGGTGCTTAACCCACGCGAGAACCATGAGAAAAAATTGTAATTAAGTATAATTATTTCGACTAATACAAGAGGTATAAAAAAAACATAACATTAGCCGAATATGCGAAACGTTGGGACTTAAAAGAAAACATGTGTACAGTTCACACGCGTTAGGTAGAAGTGAAACATTCAGAAAAATAAACTTAGAGAGAATGATACGAATGCAGAATATCGGGAGTAGAATAATGGTAGGGTTTATATATTATATGGTAACGAAATATAAAAAATATATACAAATATATTACATATTATACAAATACAGAAGTTAATTTCATTATCGTAAATATTTAAATATTTTCTAATCCACAAATTACGTCTTTAAATCTTTACTGCATATGTGAACATGTTTAAGCTCTATGGACAGGACACACTCGATACAGTATTCTATCTTATTGTCTTGCAGGCTAAATCCTATAGATGTATATGCTTGTCTCTTTTTAGTGTCGCTTTTTCGTTATTTCAAGTTACAAAATACAACGATTCTAAAGAAGTTTTCACTTCAAAAAGTTAAATTTAAACCCGGTAAATTCCATATAATATGTTTAATTCATTGTTGTAGTATTTGAGTAAATATAAGAAATCAACATAGGTTTACTTTTCGACACTTAATCGATTTTTATGTTATATTAGCCGTCATTCGGCGCGTTGCTACCGCAGAAGAAATAATTGTGGAAAGATCATTTTAAATTTTAAAGAGATATATAGGAATTTTTATATAGAAATTTGATTAAGATTAATAGTAAAATCATTAAAATTGAATGAACTATATGAATATATAAAAACTATAAAACGTCGGTACAATACGCGTGCCACCTTCACCTTCGCCTATAACCTTCGCGCAAGTGCAATAAATAACTTGATAAAGTTTGACCGCAATCTGATGAACGGTATGGCAGTGCATAAAATACGAACAAGCAAACACTATTTTTTATATTTAAACTAGTAATTCACTCGAGCTTTGCCCATGAGTAATAGGGTGATTTTTGTATATCTCAACAAAAGCACCACCTACCGTCTCTAAGAACCATCCAGCTGGCCTCATAAGTACACCATAAAATTTCATCAAACCAATCAAGACTCTTTGGAGGAGAAGAATTACGAACACGCCACTGCATTCGATTTATTCATATAGATATTTTTAGAACAGACCGAGTAGAGGGAAATATAATATTCTTGTTACATAGTTGTGCTGTTTACAAATATGTATAATGTATATCTACTTGTACGTTCAGAAAAAGCGATTCATTTAAATATAAATTTTTAAAACAATAACATGATAATAACTAGTAGCTAAGAGGTCAGAATAGTTAGTCATTATAACAGGATTCCAGCACAGCTAGAGAGTTGTGCATATACTTTATTTTCCGGGGCTATTATGCGAGTATTTATATACCGCTCTTACTGCATCCTCCAATCTTATTACATATGCATAAAGTTGAACACGGGTTAAATGGAGAGCAAATACCACATTATGAGGGCTAAGAATATGACACTATATCTAGCAGAGTTAATAGATTCGGTTATTTAGAAAAACTGACCAGGAATCATAAATATTGGTACCTAAAAACAACATTTAGGATTCGCTTAAGGTAAATACAATAAATAATTTTCTGATTAATATGGGATGACGATTGTTTGTTTGCGGTTAGTGTGACTTCCTGTGTTCTCCTTGATTTTTTTTTTCGATTTTGATATAATATTCATGTTGTAAAACAACGGCTAATTCGTCATATTGCTTTTGTTGTGTCTGCATATTCCATGCGTACTTATTGATTAAAAAGTGGGCATGGGTTTGAATTAAAGTCGGAGCCCATGCAGCAAAATCGGATATTTTTAAAGAAGTAGTAAAAAACAGGCACTCTCTGTATTTGAATTAAAATACTAATGACTTGTCACCTCTGAAAACTAAGATAAAAGAATGCTTCTTTAACAGTTAAAATTTTCGGTGCTAAACTAATAAGTTCTAACAACATTCTTACTTGCAATCTAATATAGAGTAAAAATACGGCTTTTTTTACTGAAAAATAGACCCTTTTAACTGGAAATGAGGCGTTTCATCTGCCCTTAGGGAGGCAACGCATCTGCGTTGTAATTCTCAAGTGATGATAGATGTAGATGTCTATGGGTTACGGCATTCACTTGCCACAGGGTGAACTATGTGCTTATTTGTCACTCTTATTCTATAAAATAAACGTATTTATATACAATAAATACATCTAAAGGTAATAAATGGTAGTTGATTGTAGAAAACATAATTATTCTACTCTTACCTTATACCGAAGAACACCACAAAGCACGGTTCTGAGCCTCTTTCGTCACTTAGAGAAAATAGCATTCTACACTTCGCCCACCGGTACCGGGCTACCGCTCGAGATACTTTTTTCTTCATTCAGTCTAATCCATTGGGGCTGTCTTACATTTTGCTTTCCAGTACGAGATTGCCACTCTAGAACATTCCTTCCACGTCATTTGTCGGTTATTAAAGCTATAAGACTAATTGCCACTTAAGCTTACCAATCCCATGGGTTGTGTCGGTTGCTCTGGTTCTACCGCGAATCATTACGATGTCTTTCATGTAGAGTAACTGAACGCATAGCCCTCTCCATAACTCACTCACTGACCTGAATCTTTCTCAAACGGCCGGTAGTAAAGAACCATGCCTCAAATCCATATATCATTATTGCAACACTATCTCGCACCTCTCTTTTAACCAGAAACGCATCGAGCTAAGTGCTGTTAAGTACTTTTGCTACCTAAATTCCTGCATAAATTGCTAATATACTGCAAAGCTTCAGCTATTGGAACGAGTTCCATCGTCATTATCGATAGTCTTAATTATGTTATAAACTTAGCTGTAATTTTTTCCTTAGGATGATAAAAGTTTTGAGGTAAATATGACAAGATGGTGTCTTAATCTCCAGAATGCTAATCCCCTTTGCGTTGGATCCTTCAACAAATTCCTTCAAAAGGAAAATTAAAAGTTTACCTCGAATATACCGTTACCATCTGAAACATATCCTTAAAATAAAAAAATGGTTGAACGTGCAAGTCATCCCTGGAACTTCCCACTAATTTCAAATGCAAAGAGCTCCAAATTTCACCAAGTTATGACGTTGAATATGAAATATCGGAGTAATTAAAAAAAAAAAAACAATTTTTTCAAATTTTTTTGTTAACGATATCTCACAACCGAATCAACCGATTTTGACAATATCAGCGGCGATCGACTTGGTTTTTCAAGGTTAAGCTGATTAAAAGCTGATTAGTTTTAGGAATCAACCAGAAAAGCCGTTTAAAAGTTATTACAATAAAACAGTTTTTTAAAATTTTTATTTTTGAGATTTCTCAAAATCTAATGGTTCGAATTAGTTAAAATTCATATGAAATCTAAGTTAGATGAAATACTTTGGAATCCCTTTAGTTTATTTCAATCGGATAAGCCGTTCAAACACTATGTGTGTTTATTGTGTTGCATACAGACACAAAGACAGACATAAAAATAAAACGTGATGAAATCTATGAAAATAACTTTATTAAAATAAAATTCGGTAAGCATAGATTTTAATTTACGACGAGGGAATTCTATCGCTTCTCAAGTCGACGTAAATACCCAGTCGCAACTCGAACGCGTCACTTGGGGATACTCGCTGTTCCGCGTCTTGACGTAATTAGCAACTTCATTTACACGAAGTTATATTATTTCACTTTCTTTTTCTTCTTCTTTTCACACTAATTTTTTACTGATTGCTAACGTCCTATATCCTCATTATCGAATCATTCATAATTCTCATTAATATCATTATTATCTTATATATGACTGAAATATTGTTTTGCCTTTTTTCTACAGATAAAGATTTCAGTTTACTTAAAATCGTGTTTTTATTTGTCTTTTAAATTGTGTTTACATTTACTTCACTTCTGTACATTCAAGTTGTATTAAATATAAACATATAATACAGTAAGGTCGTATAAAATTCTTGTTAATTATGAGATGAATAGGGAGCCCATACGAAGCACAAAATAGCCATAAATATTTCCTACAAGATGCCCAGCGATGGACTTTTACGGGCTGAAGTAAAAGCAAAAGAAAAATAAATAAATAGATATTATAGATAGAAATCACAGAAATCGTAATAATAAGACAAATTATTACTATTTTTGTGAAAGAAATAATAAGGCAGTAATGATATACTAGGTCAGTTCCAGTATAATAAACTGATATCATGGTTGAACTCAAGGTTTGTACAGATATGAAGGTTCAACTCCAGTCCAGGTACCATTTACCAAAATACCATAATATACAGGGATCCGCTCGAGTTCGCACGGAGAATTTCTGGATCTCGAGAGCAGCGCCACCTACCGGGTTGAATTGTAAATCTAAACCACCCAGGGGCCCACTCAAATACACACAAAAATGTCATCAAAATCGATTCAGCCGTTTAGTAGGAATTCAGTTGAATAACAGGATATTATACTCGTATCTATTACAAATTTAAATCACCTGCGTAAAAAATCACGACAAACATAAATAAAGACGCTAAAAAGAATACATACGTGTTCCGTTTTGCAAATTATCGCAGGGAATACTAATGATGTTGTTAAACTTTTGGGTGCTTAACCCACGCGAGAACCATGAGAAAAAATTGTAATTAAGTATAATTATTTCGACTAATACAAGAGGTATAAAAAAAACATAACATTAGCCGAATATGCGAAACGTTGGGACTTAAAAGAAAACATGTGTACAGTTCACACGCGTTAGGTAGAAGTGAAACATTCAGAAAAATAAACTTAGAGAGAATGATACGAATGCAGAATATCGGGAGTAGAATAATGGTAGGGTTTATATATTATATGGTAACGAAATATAAAAAATATATAGAAATATATTACATATTATACAAATACCGAAGTTAATTTCATTATCGTAAATATTTAAGTATTTTCTAATCCACAAATTACGTCTTTAAATCTTTACTGCATATGTGAACATGTTTAAGCTCTATGGACAGGACACACTCGATATAGTATTCTATCTTATTGTCTTGCAGGCTAAATCCTATAGATGTATATGCTTGTCTCTTTTTAGTGTCGCTTTTTCGTTATTTCAAGTTACAAAATACAACGATTCTAAAGAAGTTTTCACTTCAAAAAGTTAAATTTAAACCCGGTAAATTCCATATAATATGTTTAATTCATTGTTGTAGTATTTGAGTAAATATAAGAAATCAACATAGGTTTACTTTTCGACACTTAATCGATTTTTATGTTATATTAGCCGTCATTCGGCGCGTTGCTACCGCAGAAGAAATATTTGTGGAAAGATCATTTTAAATTTTAAAGAGATATATAGGAATTTTTATATAGAAATTTGATTAAGATTAATAGTAAAATCATTAAAATTGAATGAACTATATGAATATATAAAAACTATAAAACGTCGGTACAATACGCGTGCCACCTTCACCTTCGCCTATAACCTTCGCGCAAGTGCAATAAATAACTTGATAAAGTTTGACCGCAATCTGATGAACGGTATGGCAGTGCATAAAATACGAACAAGCAAACACTATTTTTTGTATTTAAACTAGTATAAACTCGAGCTTTGCCCATGAGTAATAGGGTGATTTTTGGATATCTCAACAAAAGCACCACCTACCGTCTCTAAGAACCATCCAGCTGGCCTCATAAGTACACCATAAAATTTGATCAAACCAATCAAGACTCTTTGGAGGTGAATAGCTACGAACACGCCACTGCATTCGATTTATTCATATAGATATTTTTAGAACAGACCGAGTAGAGGGAAATATAATATTGTTGTTACATAGTTGTGCTGTTTACAAATATGTATAATGTATATCTACTTGTACGTTCAGAAAAAGCGATTCATTTAAATATAAATTTTTAAAACAATAACATGATAATAACTAGTAGCTAAGAGGTCAGAATAGTTAGTCATTATAACAGGATTCCAGCACAGCTAGAGAGTTGTGCATTCACTTTATTTTCCGGGGCTATTATGCGAGTATTTATATACCGCTCTTACTGCATCCTCCAATCTTATTACATATGCATAAAGTTGAACACGGGTTAAATGGAGAGCAAATACCACATTATGAGGGCTAAGAATATGACACTATATCTCGCAGAGTTAATAGATTCGGTTATTTAGAAAAACTGACCAGGAATCATAAATATTGGTACCTAAAAACAACATTTAGGATTCGCTTAAGGTAAATACAATAAATAATTTTCTGATTAATATGGGATGACGATTGTTTGTTTGCGGTTAGTGTGACTTCCTGTGTTCTCCTTGATTTTTTTTTTTCGATTTTGATATAATATTCATGTTGTAAAACAACGGCTAATTCGTCATATTGCTTTTGTTGTGTCTGCATATTCCATGCGTACTTATTGATTAATAAAACCGGCCAAGAGCGTGTCGGGCCACGCTCAGTGTAGGGTTCCGTAGTTTCCCGTCCGTCACAATAAGTGTTCCCACTTATGAGTTTAAAGGTGGGTATCCATTATGTTCGCGCTCCAGCAGCGCTCCGCGCTCCTGCAACTGCTCCCGGTAGTGGGTACGTGCGCGAGCATGGAGCGTGCAAAATTGCACGCTCCGCGGCAGGCGATGCCAAGGAGAGACCAACCGAACAATTCGATAATACCCGACCCAATGTAATAAGTACCTACAGCGCCATCTCTCGGGGAATTGGGTTACTAATTAATACATAGACGTGTCAGAAGTTTTCGGTGGTAATTTTGGATAATTTTTTAATAATTCTTTTTTTGTTTGAAAAAAGATACGTTCAGGATAATAAAATATGTAAACGAAGTTAAAAAAAATGCCTGTTTAAACGATTATACTACAAACTTAGTCCAGAAATTATTTTGTACAACTTTTTGTCTTTTTTGTACAAAAACTGTTTCCATCCAGGTTCAAAATAATTTTCCTAGAAAGTCCTTATAAAGTTCTACCTTTCAGATTTTTTTCATATTTTCTAAACCTATGGTTCAAAAGTTAGAGGGGGGGGGGACACATTGTTTTTCACTTTTGGAGCGATTATTTCTGAAATTATTGACATTATCAAAAAAATGGTTTTAGTAAACCCCTATTCATTTTTAAATACCTTTCCAACAATATATCACACGTAAGGGTTGAAATTAAAAAAAAAAGTACTTCCCACTTTACATATAGGGGGGCTACCCTAATAAAACATTTTTTTCCAATTTTTATTTTACCACTTTGTCGGCGTCATTGATACACATATTGGTACCAAATTTCAGCTTTCTAGTGCTAACGGTCACAGAGATTAAGCGAGGACGGACAGACGGACAGACAGACATGGCGAAACTATAAGGGTTCCTATTTGACTACGGAACCCTAAAAAAGTAGGCATGGGTTTGAATTAAAGTCGGAGCCCATGCAGCAAAATCGGATATTTTAAAGAAGTAGTAAAAAACAGGCACTCTCTGTATTTGAATCAAAATACTAATGACTTGTCACCTCTGAAAACTAAGATAAAAGAATGCTTCTTTAACAGTTAAAAGTTTCGGTGCTAAACTAATAAGTTCTAACAACTTTCTTACTTGCAATCTAATATAGAGTAAAAATACGGCTTTTTTTTACTGAAAAATAGATCCTTTTAACTGGAAATGAGGCGTTTCATCTGCCCTTAGGGAGGCAACGCATCTGCGTTGTAATTCTCAAGTGATGATAGATGTAGATGTATATGGGTTACGGCATTCACTTGCCACAGGGTGAACTATGTGCTTATTTGTCACTCTTATTCTATAAAATAAACATATTTATATACAATAAATACATCTAAAGGTAATAAATGGTAGTTGATTGAGGAAAACATAATTATTCTACCCTCATACCGAAGAACACCACAAAGCACGGTTCTGAGCCTCTTTCGTCACTTAGGGAAAATAGCATTCTACACTTCGCCCACCGGTACCGGGCTACCGCTCGAGATACTTTTTTCTTCATTCAGTCTAATCCATTGGGGCTGTCTTACATTTTGCTTTCCAGTACGAGATTGCCACTCTAGAACATTCCTTCCACGTCATTTGTCGGTTGTTAAAACTATAAGACTAATTGCAACTTAAGCTTACCAATCCCATGGGTTGTGTCGGTTGCTCTGGTTCTACCGCGGATCATTACGATGTCTTTCATGTAGAGTAACTGAACGCATAGCCCTCTCCATAACTCACTCACTGACCTGAATCTTTCTCAAACGGCCGGTAGTAAAGAACCATACCTCAAATCCATATATCATTATTGCAACACTAACTCGCACCTCTCTTTTAACCAGAAACGCATCGAGCTAAGTGCTGTTAAGTACTTTTGCTACCTAAATTCCTGCATAAATTGCTAATATACTGCAAAGCTTCAGCTATTGGAACGAGTTCCATCGTCATTATCGATAGTCTTAATTATGTTATAAACTTAGCTGTAATTTTTTCCTTAGGATGATAAAAGTTTTGAGGTAAATATGACAAGATGGTGTCTTAATCTCCAGAATGCTAATCCCCTTTGCGTTGGATTCTTCGATTGATCTTTTGGTCGAAGTTGGACTTATCTAGTCGTAGTTGGACAATTTCTACTAGATAAACTTACCTGTCCACAGATATGAGCGTAGTGCTCCTAACTTCTACGGGTATAAGTTTAA